TAAAAAAGTGGCTGAATGGTAAACGAGCTTGACCTAGTAAACCTGAAGGTTCCGAGTTCGACCCCTGGTGGGGCTAGTCCCAAAACTGGGACGAAAGAACTGTTTAGTACTCCCTGGTTTCCAATAGTCCTCTGATATCAATCGGTTATCAAACTTGAAAAAATATTTATCATACTTTCAAGTCAATTGGTGGATGGTGACTGGCAGTGGAATTTACCAGGATGCACATCTCGTCCCATTTGGGACTCGTCAACTGGATGTTCCTGCATTCCCCAGTCAGTAAGGGATGGTGTTCCCACTGAGGCTCAAACCCACTTTGGTCTAATCAATCGACGGTAAAATCTAAATTGAATTATATAATTAATAAGACCCATTGCACAAGAGGTGGCTCTCGTGGCCCAAGTGGTCTAATGGATAACGCTTTGACGTTTGAAACTATGGGCATTGGGTTCGAGCCTCGTGGGGAATGCAGGTGCATACTGCTGGTGGACGAGTCCCAAATGGGATGAATTGCACATCCTGAATTCCACTGCTAGTCACCATCTACCAATTGACTTCAAGTTACATGACTAGACATCGTCGAAGCATCTGCACAAGGAGCGGATATGTCAACCCGAAACCGAGCACTTCGGTCCAATCCAGCTATGGGAAAGTTCAAACTGAATGAAATGATTTATCACACTTTGTTAGGAAATTATTCATTCTGTTTTTTTTAATTGTTCTACTTTTCGGGAAGTAAAATTTTCTGATTTCATATACACATAATTGAGAAGTAAACAAATTTAATTGAATTGGCTAGACATGTCTAAATTTTTAATGTATTTGTAAAAATTTCATGCATGCGATTCAAATGATAACCTCAATCTATGCGGCGAAAATATTTCGACGAAGTGTAGGCTAGAATTTATCTATCATTGTCTAGACATACACACCAATCTGTTCGTTGCGTCAAATAAAATAGGCGACTGGTTTCATGCATTAAAAATTCTTCTAATTAAATCAGTCAGTTAATTTGGTGGATGGTGACTAGCAGTGAAATTCAGGGTGCATGTTTCATCCTACTTGGAACTCGTTACCTAGCTGTACCCGCATTTCGCAATGAGTGAATGACATGTCACTGACCACGTCAACTCCTAGCTTAGTGATAGGGAGTGAAGTGATAGAACATGTTGACCATTTCACCTATTTGGGAAGTTGTATCAGCACCAACGGACTGATTGGTGACGAAATCTCAGCACGGATCCAAAAAGCTCGAGCTGCTTTCGCTAACTTACACCATCTCTGGCGTAGGCGTGACATCCGGCTATCAACCAAGGGACGTGTGTACTGCTCAGCAGTTCGCTCCGTCCTTCTCTATGGCTGGCTCTGAAACATGGCCAATACAAGTTGAAGACATGAAAAGGTTGTCTGTTTTTGATCATAGATGTCTACGATCTCTTTCTCACGTTAGGTGGTATAATAAGGTGAGTAATGTTGACGTTAGGCGTAGAGTGTTGGGCAAAGAGGGAAAATCAATCGAAGAGGCTATAAAGTTACATAGATTGAGATGGCTAGGTCACGTGCTGCGCATGCCTAGCCATCGCCTCCCCTAACGGACGGGCATTACTAGCTGATATAGGTGCAGGTTGGAAAAGAGTAAGTGGTGGCCAAACAAAAACATGGCATCAATCCATGAAATCCTTGACAGTTAAACTGAGTCAGGTAGGGAGATGCAGACTTCCGGGTTGGGGACTCTAAGAATCAATGTCTGGAGACAATAGGTGACATGGCTCAAAATCGTTGTCAATGGCTTACGCAGATGTATTCAGTCTCTGTAATCTTTCATATTCCTTTCTACCATTACTCATTCTGTTTCACTCTTATACTTGTCAAAACTCTATTGATTCTCTTCACTCATTTTCTTGTCTACGTTTGTGTGCTATTTGGAACGTGGCAACTGGAACTGCTGCACTTCGGTGCCAAGTTCTATGTTGAATCCAGACAGACAGAGAGAATGATGGTGTTGCCACTGACATTCTGACCCACAGTACTCATCGTTTCAAACTCCAAATATCTATGCACTAGACCACTTGAGTCACCAGATGCACCTTGTGTTGTAAAAGGCATCAGTTATCATTTGTTTTGAAGACATACAAACAAAATAAGTTGGTTAACTCAAAGTCATATGCACATTGGTGCAGATATGTTTATTCTGTGGTTATCTTTGAATTCTGAATACTTCTTATCAGTCAATATCCGTTGGATTGCTTTTATTGTCTTTACAGTTAAATTAATTTCTTTTCAGGTTCTATTGTTGTAAAGTGTTGTAACTTAGCGCGCTACATGATTATTTTCGGCAACTTTGTTTTCTTTTTGCATTCTTACCATTATGATTAGTGTGAAGGTTGAGGAGGGAATAGTTATGGTCACGACTCGTTAAGTTCTGGGATCTGTATGCAATATATATATATTCTTGAACTTATTTCTTTATCAGACTGCAGCCTTAAATGTAAAACAGTTTCCCCGTCTTTTTCCACCACAAATCATATGCTCAGTATTTGCTAGCTTCACTGATTTCACGATTTTTCAAGTATTGGTTTGTAGGGATTTGATTGATTAGTTACAGGACTTCATCATGAGCTGACATTGGTTAGAGAACCATGGAAAACCGGGAGTACTACAGGTCTAGTTTCACGATTTTTCACATGTATACTTGTAACGTACACTTTTGTTTAAGGTGACATAGTACTTTTTTCTCCTCTCCAAATTTCTGTACCACCATTCAGTTGATATTATTGTTACTTTTTCTTGAATAAAATTGGTAGGTGTGATGCTTAGTAAATTCTACATTTTTAAAAATAGATATGCATGAATATTGCTATTATTAATATATCCTTGGATTCCGAGTGGAACATAGCGCTTCAATAAAACATCTCTGCCTTGTTCGACTTGGTTCTGTCCTCTTCAGCTGGGCCCACGATTGGCCATAATCTCCCATCTCCGTCTCGCACAATCTCCTCTATGTCACCCTCGGACGACCCTCTCATCGCTTCCCATTGGGATTCCACTCCTGGCATGCTATTTCATTTGACGGTTTCCTCAATGTATGCCCTATCCATCTCCATTTTCTCGTAGAAATCTGTTCAGCGATCGGTTCTTGGTTGGTTTGTTCCCGAAGTTTCTTGTTACTTATTCTTTCTGGCCAGCCATTTGATCTTCAATATGGAGCCAGCGAAGGCAGCTGTGGATAAAAGTCTACAACTGGTTATTGGAAATGATTTTCGTGACAGGCAGTACAAGTTCCTGACCCATATAGAAGAATTGACTGACTTAACATTGGTGTCAAAAATCCGAATCTTGTTTTTCATGCTGAGTGAGTGCAGAAGATTTCCTTACTGATTTCAGTTCGGTGAAGGTGCATCTTGCCTTTCCGATTCTGGCTTCCTTTGACATCCTCATCCGTGCCGTCTGTCTGTGGTTGAAACGATGCTTCTTAGATAAGTGGCGGAAGTGACCTCTTTCAAATTTATCTCGTTGATGGTGATTGGTGCTGGTGGTTGTGGTTGTCTTCATCACCTCTGTCTTCTCTATACATGAATACGTATGAATAGTATTAGAGTTCTGGCTTTTTTTTATCCATTTTATAAAGGGTGCATACTAAATGAATATTCTGAGTATTGGTGTACTATAATGTCATTTTTTATTATGGAATTTTCATTTGATAGATACATGAACTTTATATCGTTATGGTTGACTTAAATCATGCTCGGTTTGATTTTTTCTTTTAAAGAAATTAACTGTCATGATTGCCCATATCTTTTTATTTTAAATGAGTTTTAAGTAGGTCTTGTTTTATTTTTATCCTAACCATATTGAATATCTTCAACTCTAAAATAGCGTAACATTTTGTCTCAAGTTTGATCACGGATTGATATCACACTTAGAAAACCATTGAAAACCAGCAGGGAGTGCGGAACTGTTGTTCCATCCTCGTTTTCGGACTCTTCAGCAATATGCACCCACCAGGGTTCGGAATCAGGAGGATCTTCCAGTTACAAGACAAGCTTGTAGACCATTCAGCCACTGGGACCCGATTCAACAGCCCATAAATTCCAACTTCTACCGATTCTTGATTTGAACGCAACCACCAAACATCGTCATTGAAGAGTACTTGTTCTCACAACTGACCTAGTCCAAAACTAGTCTGAATAACCTTCATTTCTTTTCACTTTCGAACCTCAGTATGTATTATCATTATTGTATCCTTTAATTCCTAAAGGAACATAGGGCTTCAGCCGTGCGTCTCCATTGCGTTCGGTTCTCTGCTAGAGTCTTCACCTGGCTCCAAGTCTGCCAACACGTTTTCATCTCCTCTTCACATGACCTCCTCCAAGTCACCCTTGCACTGACGACCAACTCGCCGCTTCTCTTTCGGGTTCCACTCAAGCAATGGCTTGTCTAGTGATGTCACTTGATGGATTGTTTCCTCAGAGTATGGCCAGCCAATCCATCTCCATTTCTTCCTGCCTATTTGTTTCACAATCGGTTCCTGCTGTGTTGGTTCGCTCATTGCCAGAGATTTCTGTTGCTGATCTTTCCTGGCCGGCCATCTGATCTTGAGTATTGAGCGAAGACAACTGTTAATGAAGGTCTGTAGTTTGTTTGAGATACCATATTTTTGTTGTTGTTTGAAATTGAATTGAGAACCTTAGTCCAGATAAACGGTCAACTTGATATTTCGGTCAAATAGTGAAGTTTCAATATCTAGTATTATCACTGTCGATTACTTGTTTCTAATGTTCGACAGTATTATCCTGAAAGTTTTAATTGTACGTTAATATTAGAAATATTTTAAAAGATTAGGTGCATATAAACTTGATTCTATTAATAGGTATTATATATATTTTGTTTACTGAAAAGTTATAACCTTTTAACAAAGTAATTGTATTCAGAATATGTTCACAGTTATCTAGTGATTATTACACTCTTTCATTGTTTTTGTCTCCCATTCAAATACACAGGTCACATTGTGGAAAGAGAACTTAGAAGGTAATTGGATTGCGTTAAGTGAAATTGCTCGTGGTCAAAATGCGTCAAGCTTATTGGGAGCTGATGAGACTAGTCAAGCATCTAATCAGTCTACTACTCAGATAGCTGCTTAAATAAAAATTATAATCTAGAGTGGGTGTCTGTTAACGACACTTTCTTCTTGTACACACACACACACACATACATAAATACATTGGTTCGCTTCTTTTTGGTTTATGTTGTAATTTATCTCGTTATTTATCAATCTATCTATTCTCTCTTACACTTTATTTTGCTTCAATGTAATAATATATAGTGTTTCTTATTGTCTAATTTGTTAAATATATTCACCGTATAAAAACTTATTCTAATAGACATGTTTATTGGTATTGTCTTTATTATCATACAAAGAATGGTTTATAAGTGTGATGAGACATCATTTGGTTTTTCTACAAAAATAATTTACATAACTCACTACTGACAGAAGTGAATTTCATTCTGAAATTGAGCATTATTTTCGGCAGTTATCATCATTATTCCCTTAAGTTCTGAGTGGAAAATAAGGCTTCAGCAGAATATCGCCATTTCACCCTATTCTGTGGTTCAGCGACGGCGGTCTGCTTAAAACTTGGGCTACCAAAAACTCCCATCTCTCTCTTCCATATATCTTCTCTCGTTCGGCTTGTTTTAATCGATTAAGATATGACCTCAAATGATATTATCTACTCTTGTGTGTATTTAAAATGTTTACAAGCTTCTGATTCGCAAGTTCCTACTAAACTTGAAGAAAGGCCTGATTGTGGGTGGCAACGTGTTCCAATACATGAGATAACTGCTCGTCAGCTATATCCTTGGGTCTCAGAATGTACTTCTGAACATCTTACAATTTACCTTCAACTGGATATCGTGGATTTCTTGAAGGAGACAAAGCAGATATATCATAATGGAATGGTGGTTTGTGCTTCAGCTCAGAGACCATTGTGTCACAGGATATACTGTCAATTAATATTTTACTTGAAGATATTGTACTAAGGGAAAATATTATGCAATAAACTCCTGTGAAAATTTTGTACATTACATAAATTCTGTCCAGAATAAAGATGTTATTACTATTATTATTATAGGCTTTCATTCCCTCTTCACACAATCTCCTCCATGTCACCCTCAGGCACATACCCAGTTTGTCGTTTCCCATTTGTGTTCGACTTGGGGACCTTACGGGTCATGTCACTCAACGGTCCATTTCCTTCGGAATATTTGTTGAGCAATAGATTGTTGGTTGGTTCGCTTCCAGAGTTCTTTGATGCTAATCCTTCCTGACTGGCTATCTGGTCTTCAGTATGGAACGAACGATGGTAGCTGTTGATAAAAGTCTGCAGTAGACTGCTGAAAATTCTTTTGGTGATGTGTGCACCGGATCTCTAAAAGATAGAATCACTGATTCGATATTTGTGTTGAAAATTTCGATCCTGTTACTGATAGTGAGTGTAGTAGATTTCCACACTGATCCTGGATTTCACATTCTCATCCGTGACTCTACCTGTAGTTGCAACAATGCTGCTGAGGTGACTTCCTTAAGATTTCTCCTGTTGTTGGTGCGTATTTACAAAGTATTATCATAAAAACAATCATTTCGTAAAAATAATGATGGTTAGTGTATTTGACTAATAATAACACCAACAAATGTATTACAATTAGAATTCAAATTAATTACAAATTTTATTTAAAGTTGAAGAAATTGAGATATATAACTAGAAGTGACATCAGAAATGAGTAAAAATTATCAAGCATAAGAGAAAGTGTAGTGTCAAAACTTAACCATAATAGATTTAGGTGATGTGTAAATGAAACGAACAATGATAATAAGTCAAAATGATGTCGAATTGATGAAAAATTCAACATAAAATTACTCTGTGTATAAGTCAACTCATAGGCGATGTGCTTCGGAGAGATGAAGAGAATGTTTTTCAAACAGATTCACTTAAAGCTATTTTTTTATTGAACTGAACACAATTTTTAAATGATAAACCCTGCAGCATTTCAAGTTGATATCTTTCGTTAGAAGCAAATTTAAAGGTAGAAAAAGAAGTGGGAATTCACAGAAGAAAGAATAATTGCATGGAAGATAAAAAGGAGTTGAGAGATCGTAAAGAGTGAATACATTGTCATTACTGTGACCGATTTTGAGGTAATATTAGCTAAACGTTTCCAATCATTGATTCTTAGCGTCTCGAGGACCCCAGTCAAACTGTTTACACCTCCTTACATGACTTAAATCAACAGTCAAAAAACTTCATGGCATGTTTTGATGATGTTACCATCCTGTACCCTTTTCCAATCTGATGTCAGCTAACATTGCTTGGTGAAGAAAGCGACAGCTTCACAACCTCGTTGATTTATTTTTTCCCCTTGCCTTGGATTACGCTTAATCTCATTCCGACTGATCATAATGTACCCCCCAATATGAAAAACAAACACCTATAGTCAAAGACTTCTTTTATAAGCTTATCGTAATGTGTATGTAGTTTGCTATCCTGGGACAACCGGATAATACATAACTGGTATTTTGTAGGATGAATGAGTAGATGAACTTGTTAATAATTAACTAAGAAAAGTAAATACTAAGACTTTAAATGAATTGAATAACATATTTAGAATTCTAAGAAACGGCAGTGATACCAAATGAATACTGGGGAAATTTAACGAAGTTCATTCAGCTGCAATCTTTAACAAACAAAAATAGAATGATCGTTTTCTGGATGCTGTAATGATGGTAGAAGTGCGTACTGAAAGTCTACACCAACTGAGTGGCATACTCATAAAAGCAAAAAAGGTGGTATTTGGCAGCAGAATTGTTTAACTGGCAAAATGAGGTACAATGATGGCGAAATACATAAGCCTTACAATGAAACTTCAGTTTGCAGAAGTTACTTGTATTCTGCTGCTTTTGTCTTAATTTCATGCTTTCTGGATTACTTCACAACTATTTTCATTCCTTCCATTTGTAAATGAATCCACCTCTCCGCTAATCAAGATTTTCACAGAAGACGTCACCATTATACTAAGATTTCCTGTCAGTAGTATGCATCATATAGCTTGTAAGTTCCGTTCTACAGTACAAACGAATCTATCAAGAAAGTTATTTGTTCGAATAGCACACCCAACAGTGAACTCAGTAGAAACTGATATGCGATGAATTTCTTGAAAAAAAAAAAACATGAATTTAGTAAACACCAAAATTGGGGGGTGCTTACAGTTTAGAAGAAATCAATGCAGTTCATAGATAACATTAAAGGTAAAATTATTATAAACGTTCTCAAAAGATGTTTAATCTAGCTATGATGTTTGTTTTCCAACTAACTACAGATTAAGACAAACTTCCAGTATTTCTTCTCCTTATTGTCTGTCTGTTTTCGACATAGAACTTTGCACATATGTGCGGCAGTTCAAGTCGCCACACTCCATGTAGCACACAAAGCAAGAGAAGAAACTAGGAGAAATGCATATTAGAGACAGTAAACAGAGGTGAGAGACAAAGGAATAGTAGTAACGAAGAACAATATAGTTTCAGTGGAGATCATAAGTCACAAGGAGTGGATGCATCTGTGCCATTGAGAACGATTTTGAGGCATGTCACCAATTGTTTCCAACCATAGGTTTTTACCGTCCCGAGGACCCCAACCAGGAAGTCTACACCCTCCTACGTGGCTTAGACTGACTGTTGTGGATTTCATTGACTGGTGCCATGTTTTCGTTTGACCACCGCTAGCTCTTTTCCAGCCTGACCTTATATCAGCTAACATTGCCCGTCGAGGAAGGCGATGACTAGGCATACGTAGCACATGTCCTAACCATCTCAGTCGATGTAGCTTCACAGCCTCGTTGATTGATTTCCCCTCCTTCCCTAGAACTCGACGCCTAACCTCAATATTGCTCACCTTATTATACCACTTCACACGGGAGATAGAACGCAGACACCTATGATCGAAGACAGATAATCTTTTCATGTCTTCCACTCTCAATGGCCAGGTTTCACAGCCATAAAGGAGGACGGAGCGGACTGTTGAGCAGTACACACGCCCTTTGGTCGATAGTCGGATATCACGTCTACGCCAGAGACGGCGCAAACTGGCATATGCGAACCTAGCCCTCTGTATTCGTGCTGAGATTTCGTCGGAGATCAACCCATTGGGACTGATGGTACTTACCAAATGAGTGAAACGGTCAACATGTTCTGCCACTTCACTCCCTATTTCTAAACTAGGAATCAGTGTAGTCCAATCCTGTAACATCATCTTACATTTGGCGGGGGCGAATCGCATGCCAAACATTCGTAGATTGCAGCTCAAGGTGTTCAGAAGACTCTGCACTTTATCAGCGTCCTCGCCTAGAAGGACTATATCGTCTGCATATTCTAAGTCAGCGAGATTATTCCCTGGTAGCAAGTCAATCCCTGAGTCCATTAGTACATCCATGATGAAATTGAGTAGAAATGGGGATAATGGGCCTCCCTGACGGACACCACTTCAGATGACAACTCTCTTTAATATGCGTTTATCACAGTTGAACTGTCCGTGTGGAGATTAGTTATGCTAGGCTTTGAATTTCCGTATGTTACTTGTCATTATTTGGAAAAGGACTGACTACAGTGATGCATAACTCTAAACAAGCTGACCTTATTGATACAGGATATAAAATGAACAGTAACATAGCGCTTTTAAAGTTGTTTCGTATTTCATTCAACCTTTCTCGAGTTATACAAGTCTGACTGGTACATAAAGCAGAGGCATTTGGAACTCATCTGAATAAGCCAAATTTTTTTGTTCAAAAGAAATTCGTATAGTCTCCTGCGTAATACTTACAGGATGGTACAACTGACCTTTGCTTGTTTCCTTCCAACTGCTTATTGATGACTTTATTATTATGCTATTTGCTTTATTATTCTTACTCATTCCCTTGACCTCTTCGTATTAGTTTTTCCTCACCTAACTGTTAATAAATTCATCCAGTTATTCTTACAAAAACTGTTGCTCATGCAATATCCTGTTGTTAATTTCTACAAATCAAATGTATGATTGTGTTACGAGATCTCATTACTCTTTAACTAATATATTGATTTCTGTAATTGTTTTCACTCGGAATTGTGAGTCGGTGGCATAGCGGTTAGGACGCTTGCCGACCATGCACATAGTCCGGGGTTTGATCCCCGGCCGGCGCACTCCTTTACCTCGCTACGCTAGAAATAATGCTGGTGAAGAGGAAAGGTTGGTCATGAGGCTAGCAACCCCATCCTGTAAAATATAAACACTGCTACAGAAACTTCAGGCTTCTAGCATGAAGCCCTATGTTCCACTGGGGAATGTGAAGGAAACAGAAACAACCTAGGAATTGATATTTCCTATCGACTAACATATCACCATTTGATGATTTTCATGGATTATTTCTAGGAAAGGATGAAGACGGCTAGCCACTACCACCACCAACAAGCATCAATCACTGTCAACGGGGAAAAATCGAAAGGAAGTCACTTCTCTGGGCAGTATCGTTTTAACTACAGAGGACTGGCTACAGATGAGAAAGTCAAATCCAGGATCATAGAAGCAGGACAGACCTTCATTGAGTTGAAGTCAGTTTGGGAATCTGTTGCATTCAGCCCAAGGAACAAGATCTATGTCCCCACTCACAATCCAAGGGAATAATAATAACTTTTGGAGAGCTGTATTTTAGTGTAGAGTCGTTGATGAGGAACTTCATTGAAAAAGGATATTTTTTACTTCAGTTGATTTGTTGTATTTCAATTGTGAGCTTGCAATGTATAAAGATTTTCCGGGTTACCAGGGTAGCATTTTGAAGACTTAATAATGCTACAGAAATCACGGGTTATTGGTTGACGCTTCGCTAAATTTGATTCGTTTTAAACTTAGTCGTCACATGTTCTACTTTTCATTACTATGATTAGTTATTGTTTTGTTTTTTCTTCACATGGATTATAATCTACTCGTGATTGAGTAGAAAAAGGTTAGTCACATGTCAGCCTCTTGAAAATTAGTTGCTGTAATTA